CACTAGATCCTGTTACAGCGTAATATAAGTACATAACGATTGATGTGTACATTAGCATAATTACTAGCTAGCTGCTAACTGCCGCCTTGTTAATATCAAATCCATGCTGTCATGAACGCACGGTGCTGTTACGTGTACGCAAATTGACGTGCTTGATGTGAACGAGCATTTTGGTTAAAGTTGCGCATGCGCTATGAGCGCACATACGGGTACTTCTCAGGCATGCCGGGTAATCTGTGACGTTTCACTCTCTCAAAAGTTGGGCCATTTTATCATCATGCGCTAATGAGCAACTGTCATAGGAATGAATGAGGCCCCGCCTCCCACGCTGTATCCAGTTCTTATTATACATCCATGGTATAAACACGGCGAGATAAACACAAAAAAAAGTCATATGAAATCCCAAATGTTCTTTTGTCTGGGTGTTTATTCATAGCATACCTTGGAAAGAGTATCAAACACTTTTCACTTAAATATTATTTTCAGCCCTTATAATAATTAATAATAATAATAATTAATAATAATAATTAATAATACCTTACATTTATTATAGCGCTTTATCAATGACTCAAAGCGCTTTTACATATACACACATTACACATATATGATACATGCAATGGTCAGATACTGTGGACAATACCCACAGGAGCAAGTTCAGGTGAAGTGTCTTGCCCAAGGACACACCGGCTTTACAGACGCAGCAGCGGCAGGTTTCACCCCTTGATCTGATGATCATTGCACAGCGCACTGCGCCACACCGTCCATCTTCACGCCTCGAAGACAACGAGGCGCTTTTACAGGTACACATTGGTATTATACATGTACTGTGGACAATACCCACAGGAGCAAATCCGGGTGAAGTGTCTTGCCCAAGGACACAACGGCCTGACGCAGTGGCGGCAGGAGCGGGTTTCGAACTGGAGTTCCCCAGCACTCCCCCTTGTTCTGATGATCGGATGCACAGACCACTGCGCCACTGCGCCACCCGTCCCATTATAGAGTTTACGTGATATTTTGCTCTTAACCTATTATGCTATATATTTGAATAATATATTATAGGGCCATATCTATACAAAACATGTCTCGGAAGCAGTGGCGGTTCTAGACCAATTTGACGGGGGGGCCAGGCTGGGGCCAGTTATTTTCTGAGGGGGGCACAATAAATGCAGAACGAAAAAGACAAAGACAGTATGAAGTAATTGCGCATAAGAAATCAATAAAATACAGTTATTGGTATTTGTTTCATTACACACATTTATTTCAGATACTTGTGGGGGAAACTTCTGTTGTAGCAATGCAGGAGGAGTCACCGACTCAAAAGGAGACACGGGAAGAGCTGGAGCTTTGATGGCAAACACTGATGGTTTATTTAGGAGCTTCGGCCGGAGAATTCACAAAACAAGTCCTGAGTCAGAGGTTCTGACTTCACGGTAGAGTTGCCACGTCAAATCTGAAGAACTCTACCCCAGACCCGTGTGTTTAGTTCAGAGAGAATAATCAACATTGTGCATAACAAGATAGAATGATAACACCTCTATCAGCTGACGCCAACAGGCAGGAACAGGGAGACAGAACACTGAGAGCACAGCAGCCAAGGTTACAGGTGCGTGTGCTCAGTCAGGACAGTATGAACTGATACACTGGGTCAAAGTTATGGGCCTTGGAAATTATTTCCCCAACAATACTTATAGTTACAGTTTTTACGTTCTAATCATGGGTCCGACTAGAATGACAAATAGCGTTAGTTACGCCTATTCCGTCAGCCAAAACAATTATTTTTACAGGACATTTTGACCGGAGAGATTTAGATTTGCCGGTCTTCAGCATAAATCAACGGTCATAGTCCGGTACCAGCTAACAGAAACTGTTATACATATATAATAATATATAATTGCTACATAATTCACAATATAACACTTTAAATGGAAGATCCCCATAGCCGATTCTGATTCCGGTGATCGGCCCCAAAAATCCTGATCGGAGCATCCCTACTCAGATCTTGTGATGTCAGGGCTACTTACCTCCATTGTCCTCTGACGCTCTGATAGACAGAACAGAACTACTACCCGGGAAACAGGATGCAACGCGTCATCTGTGGAGCTCCGCCCACGTTGAGCTCATCGAGGCATTGCGCACTGCAGAGGTATGGTGGTCAAGTGGCAGCACAAATATAGAGCCTTCAATTGAAAGGTCTTGTATCTTTATTAGGATCCACATTAGCAGCAGCATGAGCATTGGCTATTCTCCCTGGGGTCTACATGCAAACAGTCATACACACATTGAAACACGAGCCACATAAACACAACATACATAAACAAACAAAACAGCTCATCTCATGAATAATCAACAATCAAGTTAGTGAAGTGAAAACAAAAATGGTCGTCCTTTCAACCATTATTGAGAACATATTTCATCTACAAAGTCCAATTGTAACTTCTGTTACTGTTCTGAACATATTGATTTTCAAAAGATTGATCATTTCTTTATTAATCTCTTAAACAATATGCAGCAGCAATCATTTCCAACTGACCATGGCTCTGTACATCACTGTTTCTGTATTTGCTTTCCCTTTAGGTAACATTGATGTTTCTACAGCATATCGTGTTTGTTAGATGTGTTGAGCATACTGAGAGAAAACCCCTCCCCATTATATCTTTGGTGTTGTCTTGAACAAAATTGCAAAATTGAACAATGCACAGATAGATCTCTGCCTGACAGTTAACCAGCTCAGTGTATCGTGCATGTCCATTCACTAGTTTTGTAAGAACTCAATAACACGTTTTAACACTATAAACATTTGTCTCTCTCTCCGATCTTTTCTCCGGTTCTCCTCAGTGTGAGTTCCTGAGCAGTGAGACTCAGAGTTCCGGTGTGTTCTCTCCGGGCTCTCTAAGGGTGGCAGCGTGTGACCTCCAGATGTTGATGGCTGCTTTCAACCATGTTTTTGAAACAGACCTGAGAGCTTACTGCAGCAGAGACCCCCCCAGCTTCAGCACAGAGACCCACGTCTTCCAGAGGATACACCAGCTACTGCTGGCCTTCACCATGGTACTCATACATCTGTTGAACATCACTGTTCAAGAATCTGTCTCAACACAGACTGACGTGTCGGTCTTCCTGTAGAGTTCCAAGCTTTATTCAGAACGTTGACATTTGTTCTCAGCAGCTTTCATGTCAAACCATTATGTTTAAACCATGTATTTGTGCACTGTTATAGTAAGGCTACACTAATATTAAGAGTATTATACTAAGATAAATAGATTTGAGTTGCGGCCGCAGGATTTCCTGATTCTAACGTTTCTAATAACTGCAGAGTAATAATGTTATGAAAAGATAGATGTAATCATTTCCACTATTCTTAACTTGTTTTTATCCAATCAGATATTCCACTTCAATATATATTTATTTGCATTTATCATTTAAAAAAAAACACTTTTCCACTGCAGTCAAAGATCTGTCTCACCCACTTGCTGCACACATACTGCAGGGACGCACTGAAAATATAGTACATATTCATTATATAATAAAATAGGACTTAACTCATTTAATCTGATATAGCTTTATTTTAATTGAACGTATTGAACGAATTTACGTAAGTGAATATCCGTGTTCACTTGCACACTCACACATAGTGGACTGCAACTTGGAGAGGTCCCAGTTCACCTCCTGCCCTGCCGTGGTGCCCTTGAGCAAGGCATCGGACACCCCCCTCCTCCCTCACTCCCATTGCTCCCCGGGCGTTGTGCAATATCTGCCCACTGCTCCTATTCGACTCCTGGTACTAGGATGGGTTAAATGTAGAGAACACATTTCACTGTGTGCTCTGCATGTGAGACCATTAAAGAGGGGTTCTTCCCTCCCATTCTATTCTATTCTATAGGTCAATTCTACGCTGATAAAAAACCGTGTTCCCTTCTGTTGTATTTTTACCAGGCGAATAAGAGACATTTTCTCCCTGCTTCAGTCCTGATCCACACAATACAATAGTAACCCAAAATTCACAATTCAATAATCCGCCTTTTTTTTCTCCCTTGCAGAACTCCATTTTGATGTTTATATTGTATAACTGAATACATGTCAATGTTTTAAACTTCAGTTGTAATCCATATAGGTTCTTGTGAATCGTCACTCACTTTTATGTTCTTACATTTTGTGATTGTCTTTTAGGGCTGCAGCAACTAGTTGATCAACAAATATTGTTCAGGGTTTCTAGAGTTTAAGAATGTTTTAATGCCACTCAGAATTAACTCTGACCAATTTTAAAATAACATAAATTGAAGATGCATGTGACAAATAAAGTTAGGAATAGTTTTGCCCAAATGTTGATTGTAACAACTATCTTCATCTAAATGACATTTGCGTGAAATGCATTCAGTAAATCATATAAACAGATGTTAACAATTGATATTTTAAATTGTGATGTCAGAAAACTAATCATTCATACAATTCTACTTGTATCATAGCATTTTAAAACCTATTGAAAATGTATTCCAGAAACTAATTGAGGCCTTATATATTCCTTTTACAAGCTTTAAAATGACACTGGTTTATGCTTCACCCATGTGAAGACTTTAAACACTCTTATGTTTTGTACAATTTTAAATGAAGTAACTGATGGATGAATGATATAAGCAATATAGTTAAATCACATCAGCCTTAACAGAGAAGCTGAACCCACATTTAGCGTAAATAGCTCTGCAATTTATACTAGCACCTTTTATACTTTCACCTGGCTGCTTTATCGTTAAACTGTTACTGGATGTGTATTTTTGTAAATTGTGTAATTTCTTGTCTTTAATCTTTTTTTAATGCATGCTTGTGATATTAAGCTTTCTTTGGTTCTTTTCTGTAACAATTGTACCCTCTGTGGGTCCATTAAAGGTCATCTGATTCTGATCTCAGATGAAGTTAACTTAAAAAGGACTGCACGATGTTACTAAATTCAATGACACAATCTCTCAAGCTGAAACAGCTGGTGAAAGAAATAAAAAAGAGTGGGCTCTGTTTTCATATTTAATGTTTCATTCATTACATGTATGTACACAGTTGAATCCCATATATTAAATGTCTCTCTGGTGTCCTAAGAAAGTCAAATAAGGTGCAGTAGTCAAATGCTGTCCGTCCTCCTGTATTGAAATAGGTTTTTGAAGTTCTGTAGGACATGTCTCCAGGTGTTGACATGCCGGTCCTCTCCATGTCCACAGGACAGCTCTCTGATCAGCATGATGATGGGACAGTCCTCCTCCTCCTCCTCAGAAGCCTTTGCTGGCCAGCCATTGTTTAAGCTCACTATCAAAGTGACCTTTGACCTTCAAGGTCATGGTGACCTCGTTGACCTGTGTGGGCAGCTCCTTCCCCACCACCTCCTTCAGATACTGCTTCACGTCATTCTCCAGAGCCCAAATGTCCCCCTCCACTTTCCTTACGAGCGTTGTCTTGCGGCTGCCGTGGGTCAGGTCGGTGTACACCGGAATGTTGTGCATGCGGGAGCGGCGGATCATGTAGGGCAGAGGCGGAGGGGTGTCCGCCGGAGGGGTCCAGCCGGACGGGGCTGGACCAGCGTGTTTAGGCGGTGAGGGCACCCGGGACGGCGGAATGAGCCGCTCTACGAACTTGTATTCCTCCGTAGATTCTGATATCACAGTCTTCATGTTCTCCGGAGGATGGTTGCAAACAAATCGAATCCACACGGCCGGTACATTTCGTCCCTGTGATAGAAAGGCACCTCGAAGTGCGAGGTTTAAGCAGGCCGCCATCTTATGTTGCAGCGAAACTTCTTCTTTTTGATTTAATGGCGGTTGGCAAACAGCTATACGCCGCATTTACCGCCACCTCCTGGAATGGAGTGTGGATCAGCACGGTTTTAATCTAAATTCTAACTATATTTCCTGTCTTTTTTTCATACTGTACAAATAATCAAGAAAGATATTGGTTTAAATGAATGAAGTATTGACTTGAATACACTGATATACATTCCATTAAACAATACTAAATACTAGATAAACTACACATCAGTTAAGTTGAGGATTTTTTCCATGCAAAAAGTTACATTTAGATGTTAACAAGCAATATGATTTTGTCAGCTTTCTAATTTAATGTATTGAAGACAAAGATATGTAACACATAGTGAGAACTGCTACTATTTATCTCTCAATATTGTCTGTAAAAAACGTCGTAAAAGTTATTCTTTCAGTGAGACAACAGAGCAAGCTTCTACAGTTGCACTACGTTTTGATAACAGTTAAATATTATTTTGATAATAAAATATATTTCAATGTTGATGAACTTCATATTGTTCATTCATAATCTGATTGTCTTTGTAGCTCACACAAAAAAAACATTACAATTACAAAATAATTATATCTGCAGCCCCTAAACACACAAACACACGGCTTTCATAAATAACACACTTGTTCTGCAATAATATGTTTTATGTTTCCTGTCATTTTTGTTAGGAAAGGACATGCCTGAAAGACACGACTCAACATTTGCTCCTTCTCTGAGGGTCAAGAAGAACATCCAAGAGGAACATTAAAAGCTGATGTTATGAGATTTTAAGACCAGTACAGGACATTCACTAAGAAACTACTTTTATTGTGAAAACACAGTCAGCTGATCGAATGCAGCTATTTCCACATCTACACTCCATCAGCTGATTATTTCTATTTTTCTCACTTTATGAGCTTCACATCACTTGTGCCTTGTACCACAGAGTTTGCAACGTCACAAATAAATGGGGCCAATCTTCAGTCAGATGTGAATGTGTAATCTAACATTTTCAGTAAGAATAATGGACAAAAGGAGTGCAAATACAAATTATTGAAATGTGAACCAAAAGTTAATCAAACATGTTTTATATAAAAAGCACATATGGACAGAAGGTGTAAACCTATTAAATGTATAAGTAAACACATTTAGACAAATAACGTGACAGACTAGGCCTATGCAGTTGGTACACCCCAGCACGTGCACTCCGCTCTGCATCAGCCAAACAGCTTGCTGCACCCGCACTGCGAGGGGGACCCAAGTTCCCATCAGCAAAAACACGTGGGTTTGCTATCCTGGACAGCAGATAGCTTGCACATCTTCCGGCGCAGACTGAAAACTCATCTTTTTCGACTCCACTTCGAGCGATAGAAGCACTTATATACTAATAAAGGACTGGCTTATCTAAAGCCAGTTGAGTAGCACTTGAAATGTGTTAGCTCTATGAAACCTGATGTACTTATATGATTCTGTTTTCTTCAAGTTTGTATCTTGTTGGTCGAACGCACTTATTGTAAGTCGCTTTGGATAAAAGCGTCAGCTAAATGCAATGTAATGTAATGTATCAGCTTTGCCCAGCATGGGCTCCTCCATCAGGCCTGGTCCTCCTCGCTGAGGAAAGACCCTCAGTCCTCTCCAAACCAACAGACAGGACGTCCATCACACGGAGGTTTCTCCCTGAAGTCTCTCCTGCTCTCTGGACACCATGCTGTCTCAATCCGTCCACACTGAATATGAGACGGGGAAATGAAAATAATAAATGCTTAGACAATAAGAAATATAAAGTTGACTGTTGAGTTGCTCAGTTTTTTTAGATTGTCAATACTATTACTGTATAACTAATATATCAGGTTAAGAGGCACATTCAAATAAAGATTGGTCTTTAAATACATGTTGTCTTTTTAATTGTTTGTCTAAAGTCAAGGATCTAGAACTGGTACTTAGTTTTAATGATACAGTCTGGTCATTATGCTGTTTGGAGGAGGCATCACAGGTAAGAGCACTAACTAGCTACCATCACATGTACCTTAGCTTGACTTAAATGTATTAAACGTATAATTAAGTGATATCAAAATATAAATAACTAATGTCATGCAAACATATTAATATTTGCTTGATTCCAGTGTTGCATTTAGCATTTGCAATTGCATACACATGTTAAGGGATTTTAAGATTCTGAAGTATTATGCTAAAAACTCAATAACTTAGATTATTATTTATAGTTTTGCTGAATAGTTTCATGTCTGCTTACCTTAGAAACGTAAAATGCGACGGCAGTGTGCAGATGGGGAGCATGTTAGCTTAGCTTGGTAGCTTTAGCTAGCTCTGGAACTTCCAGCTCGGTGGCAGCAGGTCCCGCCTCGGCTCCGCCTCTTTACCCTTATTTGGAGCAGGCGGGAGTTGAACTCTGACGTCACTGTCGAGCCGTTAGTGGCCGACTCCGCCTACTTCTCGGCAACTCTGCAGAATCCTATGGGTGACGTCGCGGACCCTGCGTCCATACCTCTATGGTCCATAGTAGTCTATGGACCAGACGTCACATTAGGCGATGTCAGCTTTGGTTGATGGGGAGAGGCTGGCAGTGACAGATAAAGAGAAGACAGATATGTTAGGAAGGACACTTGCAGTAGTACATAGTGTGGAGCATCTCAGTGATATTCATAGGCAGCTAAAACAGCAGTTACTAGCAGAGAATTAAAACAAGAAGGAGAAGAGACAGGATAATAGGTCAGCTCTGGATGTGGAATTTACAATGTCAGAACTCAAAATAGCCTTACAAGGTACAGGGTATACAGCCCCATTTCAAGACCAGCAATGCTATGACAGTTACCTATGGAAACTATAACAATGGTGCTGAGTCTTTTCAATAACATCTGGAGAGAAGGAGATATGCCAAGTGTGTGGAAAACAGCAGTCGTGCTACCATTCAATAAGCCAGGGAAAGATACAGCTAACCCTAGTAACTGTATACCGACCAATAGCTCTTACATCACACCTATGTAAATGTATGTGAAAGATCATTGTCCGTCTCACATGTACTGGAACAGAAAGGGCTGCTGAGTCGTTTTCAGAGCGGATTTCGTAAAGGGCGGTCCACAATAGATGCATTAGTAAGAATGAGTAATGATGTGGAAAAAACATTGAAAATGAAAGAGATAATGGCAATAGTGTACTTTGACATTGAAAAGGCGTATGACTTGTGGAGGAATGGGTTACTGATCAAATTGAGTAGAATGGGTATTGGAGGGAGAATGTTCAATTGGTTAAGGGCCTTTTTAACAGACAGGACATTTAGAGTAAAGGTTGGAGCAGATATTCCCAATTATTTTGAAATAGAAAATGGTATTCATTTTCAGTCAGTTTTACCATACCATTACCATACCATACCATACCATACCATTTTCAGTCAGTCCAATATTATTTAACATCATGATTAACTAGAGAATGCAATTCCTGAAGAAATTGCTAGTGGGAATGCTTTATGCTGAAAATCTGACACTAAACTGCTATCCTGAAATGTAATGTGTAAGAAGAAAGTGAATAATTTAGATTGAAATGATACATGAACACTGGGGGCTTGAATGTGTGATGATGAGAGAAGAAAAGAAAGAAAAAAGGCTTGGAAAAGCAGCAGAATATTTGAACTCATGGGCGTCGCCTGGGGTAGGCATCCGGGGCTTTAGCCCCGGATGTTTTTTCTTTAGCCCCGGACAAATTCTCCCTCAATAATATAATACATTAACCGTACTTTACCTAGAGGATGGCAGAATTGTAATTTCCCGTGTTCAGTGAATGCAACAGAGGCAACCACCAGACCAATCCGAGAGTTGCATGGAAATAAACGTGTTTTATTGGCTGACCTCTCCTCTGTGACAGTGTTTAAACTTTAAACTTTCAGCCGCGGACGCGGAGTTTCTGAAGATGGACATTAGACATTTTTTAAATAAAAAATACGGCAATTCTCAAGTGGTGGCTCACACAACAACCCCAGAGCCACCACCTGAGGTATGTGTAAGGTATGTAAATGTCAGTAAACTTACAAGTTATGTCAACATGTAAGCAAAGCATAAATTATAGCTACGTTGACGTTACTTTGAATCGCGGGGGTAAGCTAAACCGTTAGCAAGTAGCTATAGCTAGCCAGATATATTAAATAAACACTTTGTCATAAAATCTAAATGTTGTGTTTTTTAGCGTTACCTGGTGATTTCAAAGAAAGCTCTCTGGGAAATGTTGACTTACTGTCAGTGTTCGACATGAAGCTAGAAGCTACCTTACATTACACAGTTGTTCCGGAGTCCTGTCAGTTAAAGTGTTTCATAGTTAGCTTAGCTAAGCATCAACCTAGCACTGAAATATATGGATGTTATGTGACGGTATTTCTGAGGAAAAGTCAGCTGAAATGGTGGCATAGTTGCCACTGCTTTACGTGTCAACAGCATGTTTGAACGTATTTGCAGCAGTAAATGTGTTTGTTTGGCCACTGACGTTGCCATAACAACACCTGAATTTAAATGTGCAACCTCTTTTTGTGACAGATTTTTGCATGAAATTATAATTCTTCTGATTGATATTCCTATTGACAGCTAGTTTCTATGTGTACATTATGAGATGGACAGCCAGCTAACAAGCTTTCAGATCAAAGCTAATCCAGTGGGGCTCCTGAAAGGGGGCAAGGGACACTATGCTCCCAAATATTAAGCCTTAACCCCCATCTTAAAATTGATATGATCACAAAATGATCTGCATTGTCGGAGGCCTTTTTTCCTCATTATCATGTCAAATTGTACAGCTTTCCTTAGTTTTGAATGCAGAAAGAGGACTATATTAGAGTATCAAGTGAAAATGACTATATTAAAGTATGAAGTGAATATATTAAGTGAATTACTCAAACTGCATTTGTATAGGAATGATTCTGTCCTATTGGCAGATAACTACTCTAACAGTGATATCTACAAGAGATGTACATTTAACTATTTTCAATTGGTTAGTATTACATTTTGTGACAGTGTGGTGAC